CTTGGTAAAACATAAACACTCTGCTAGTGTTTTGGGTCTGGGGAAAATCTGAGGACTTGTGCAGTATTGCAGAAAGCTCTTTCTAAAATCTAAGATCATTTAAATTTTCAAGGTGGCAATAGTACATTCATTGTTGGGGTTTTTTTGTTGGTTTGGATTAGCAGTGCTCAGCTTTCAAAGTCAGGAAGGAAAGTGTTTTGCAGGGGATTTATTAATTTAAATATTTTTAATATCAACAGTTGAAAATTTAAGTGTAAAAGGCCATGCAAAAATAGCAGTAAAGGAATCCAAAGCTATAAAAGCTTATGGTGAGAATTTAGATGCAGAAGCAGCTGTTATTTCCTGGGGAGTTCAGGTATATAAACTCTTCCATGGCTGTGTATCCCCACAATAGTGGTGTGAAGAATTAGCACTCACTGCAGTATGCAAACTGAACCCGCCAAGCACTGAGGCAGCTATTCATCTATACCCAGGAGCTAAATATGACAATGTTAGCATTTTTCATTTCCCTGACGTTACCATTAATAAAGCAATGATCCAAAAGAAGCTTTGCTGAGTCTGTTCTTTATGCTTCCATCACTCACGACTAGATAATTTCACACAGGATCGTTTTTAAATTAAATGACGATAAAAGCGCTCTGCTGTCCTGTGTTCACTAGTTCATAGAAGTCTATCAAGTCATTAATGTGTCATGACAAACTGCTAGTTGGGTACAAGAGTAATTAATTATTTGCATAAATAACAGGTTGAACTTCGTGCTTTGAACCGCAATGACATGTGCGTCGCATCGTGGACATCTTGGAACCTCTTGCAGAGAGTTCATGGGGGGGGCGGAAGCCGAGCCGACGTGTGCGCTGTCGCATCCTCACCCGCTTCAAACGGGCAGGAGCTTGGCTTGAGTTTTGATGCTTTTTGTGTTCCTGCGTTCTTCATTAACGGCTGCTTCAAGAAAGCATCTGATCACTGGAGATTTCAATGAACAATTATACAGATTTTCATAATCACCATTAATCACCACATATTTTTCAAGATAATTACAGCAATTATTATTTAGATTCCTCTTTTATGTCCGCATTGTAGAAAAGAACAAGTGCTTATTACGCCGGGTAGTGTAGAGAACTACGGTCTGAAGTTCTTTGTCATCCAGAAACTCATTATGTTAGCTGATGCTGCCTGTGAAAGTTCGTCAGCGTGTTTAAATTAGGGTAGCATTGGCAGGTCTGATTATTTAAATCTGGTAGCTTTGCTAAAAATATAGTTATTCAAGAAAGATGAATTACTAATTTGACAACTGAGATTTAGTTGGAGTCTACAGCACAGAAGGCAGCATCTATCGTGTGCTTAAAGGAGGGTGACAGTACTTTTTCAGATTAAAAAGAGAATTTCTGAGCCAGCTAACAAGTTGTATTTTTAGAGCACAGTTTTGTGGCCTGCCCTTTAAAGCCTGAGAGTAAGTCTTAGTAAATTATAATGAAGAAGTAGGCACCAGTTAAAAGTTGATTGTGCTTTTCAGTGGTCCTGCACTAATGAAGGGGGTGGCGCTTCATTCCTTTCATGTACCCTTCACTTGGAGGGGTCCAGCCTCCTCCTGGCTACTGTCAGGTCTTCATGGGGACTCCATCCTTCAGGGCTTGGTTTAGGAGTGAGCTTGTCTTCCTGCTGGTGTGCTCAGAGTGGTACAAAGCAAGATCAGCTTTGCCTGCTTGTGCGAGGAGGCTTTATGTGAAACATGCAAGGGGCAAATGTTTCACAGGACTTTAACAATATTTTGAAGTCACCACCTTTTGAAAATGTTAAACCTACATGGGTTGATGTGTGAGTTTACTTATGTGGTGTGAGTGATGTTGCCAGTGGTAGTGTTGTAAAGATAGGGCCTTGCCGCCTTTTTTGTTCTGAATCAGTACACATTGCCTTTGGAAAGAGCTGTATTTGGTCCTTAACCAGCATCAAATTCTTTATCTGTTTGTGTTACTGTCTATTGGTCTCAAAGATAACACAACTAAGAGTTGAATAGCTCTTGGCCAGACTAACACCAGAACTGCAGCTCCAGGCCAGAGACTGGCTGGTAAGTCTTGATGCTGCCCATGGAAATAGTAACACCAGGCAGAACCTCAGCACAGCACTCTGCTCATCAGAGACTGCCAGGAATGCTTCAAAAGCAATGATGGGGGAAGAAAAAAGGGAGGAACCAGAGGTTGCTGCTGCTGTTTATTTACAGCACAACATCAGAACAAGGGACATGGAATTAAAAGCCTCCTACAGTTCTGGTTTCCATTTAATTTTATTATGAAATCAACTGGCTGCTGTAAAAGGCAGTTGCGCACTGTCTCATGGTGCACAGCAGGAGCGATGGCACCCAGACCCTGGTGCTGGACATCCCAGCAGACTGTGGCACAACGATGGGAGCTCTTTCCTGCTTGTTGCTGGAGATGCGTGGCCCTGAAGGCTGCTCCCTGCAGTTACCTCCATCCCTTTTCTGTGAGTCTCAGTGAGCTGGTGTGCGATGGAGGAGTGCTTTTAAGGGCTCAACCTGCACTAGTGGTGAGTTTGAGCTTGCACATGTGTAGCCCTGTCATGGCTTATGTGGCATGGCCATGCTCCACATGGGAAGCATGGAAAGGTGGGTTCTGTGCAGGGAGGTGTGCTGCTGAACCAAGTGTGATGGAGCCAGAGTGCAGGGAAGGACCAGTGCTGCAGTGTGGCCTTGGGGGAGCACTCAGCCCCATCACTGTGTGGTGTGCAAGGGTGCCCCTGTGAAATCACTGCAGAAATGCATTGCTGCAGCTTGCATTTTGTTTGGGACAGCGTGGTGTGTGGTACCCCCATGAAGCATAGCACAACACAGTCTTATCCACGGGATGTAAAAGCTAACATTGAGATGGTTCATTGTTGTGCTGGAGCAAATTGCCACTGCATTTGTTGTTCCTCTTGGACTCAGATTTACATTTCTAAAAGGAAGTTGGGTGCCTCACCCTTGATGTCCTCGTGACCGTGACAAAAGCAGCAGTAGCTTTCAGTCTGTCTTTCTGTGACCTGTACTCCAGGACAGTGTGCAGCACTTCCAAGGGTGAGGTGGAGGACACAGGGGTGTGCTTCCTTGGAAGCCTTTGCTTTGCCCAGGGCCATCTTTCAGCCTGGAAGGCTGGAGCCCAACCAAGACGCAGGGTGAAGGGGCAGAGGCTGCCAGTGCTGGGAGGCAGCCGCTGTGCAGCCTGGTGCTTTATTTCCGTAAGGTTTCCTGAATTGGTGGGTATTTAAATCCTCGTGACTCCCAGTGCCTGGCTGTGAAAAGGGCTCTTGAATGAGCGTGTTGTTTTCTGATTTCTGCCTTTAATGTATTTTACCAGCAGACTGGTGACGGGCCTGATACGCGGCTCCTGTGCACGTTCCTGCGCTTTGGGAGCGCAGCATTAATAACACACTTCCATGCATCATGCCATTTTTAAGCATGATCGTTATGATAAAGGGCATATACTTAATTACAGGCCTGCTTAATTACAGCTCTGTTGAAGCTCGTTTGTTTAGGAGAGTGCTAATTGCGCTGCTGAGCCTTTGGCACACCCTGCTTTCATCTGCTGCTTTGCCGTGCAGTTCTGAGCTCCGGGAGGGCTGGAGTGCGCGAGGACCGAAGGACGGGTGGACGGGCATGCTCATCGTGGCTTAGTCTTTAAATTACTTTAGCAAAGCCAGCGTGTGACTGATCAAAGCAGGTTTCTGTCGGGATAACAAATGCAGATGGGCTTCCAGGTTCAAAACTTCCTGGATTTGGTGATGCTGCTTCTCATCTGTTTCCTTTTGGTTCGCACAGCACTGTGGCTGCCGCATAGCACCTTTGATAATGAAATGACTCCAGTGGAGAACTGGGAGCTTTTTTAAAGTAAAAAATATAAAAAGCAAATGTAAGGTGCTATGTGTTCTCAAATAACCCATGGTAAATCACTAACATGGTAACTCACTGGTGCTAATGGAAGTTGCAAACAGCCGGCAGAGGAACACTGAGTTTGTGGGTGCAGATGCTTTGTGAAAGAAAACCCTATTTGAAGATTACTTGAGGGCATTTCAGGGCTTAAATTTGCTCTAGTTTGAAGTTTTTATTTCTTTCAGAGCTGCAATTTAAGGACTTAAAATCTTAAAGGTGTACCTAAAATAAAGCGGGTGTATTTGGGGCTGCACTCTGCCTTAGAGATGTGCCCTTTTCCGTCTGGTGTGGAAGTTGCTGAGTTACATGTTTGGAAAGTAAGTGTCTCCCTTGTACTGACACGTCTTGTGGGAGGCTTTCTGTGAAGTTTCTGAGGTGGTGGTAGCAAGACACAGACACCGAGCCGTTGCAGCATCTAAGAGGACAGTACCACTAAGCTTGTGCTGCAGAGAGAGCGTGGCCCAGTGACACAAGGCTTTGCCGTCAGCTGTCATGTCCCTGTGTCTGGCCTCACACTCCACTGGTTTCCATTCTCCTTCTGTGATTTGCAAGTGTTTGAGCTCTGCTGCTCCCTGTTGAGTTTGTGCTGGCAGCAGCCAGGCCAAGACAGTGCTTGGCCCTTGGTGTTTGTAGTACTTAACTACTTGGGGGGTAAAAGGCACCTATACTGGGCATGTTCCTTGTCTTGCTCAGACACCGCTGAGTTCGTTCAGGTGGTTCTGTGTGGTAGTGGTAGATGAATCTCAGTCCTCTTAAAATGTTTGTGTTTGTTTTCAGTTTCATATACTGTCTGCTTTGGCAGCTGAACCAAATTGGAAGACTCAAAATTGAGACCATGAAATTGTATATGGATAGAGCAGGGAGGGTTCACTGGATTCCTGATTTGGTAGGGACTAACCCAGCTGTGTCTCGAACAGAGAGGAACCACTGGCAGGTTCGAGCGAAGAAAAGGCTGGCAATAACTTCTGCGAGCTATCAGTCATGTGTCAATGCCATGAATACTTGATCTGTCACTGGGAACGTGTGAAGTTGCATGTCAGAAGTCAGCTGGAAATGTGACTGCTCGTTTTGTCTCTTTCAGCAATGGATGGAGTGCCTTTCATGATTTCAGACAAGTTTGCCTGTGCTCCTGAAGGGGTGAGTTGCCTTCATTGTTTTTTCAGTGTCTAAAATGCATCTTTTCATGGAGAGCAGTCACAAAACATCAACACAAATCACCTGCTTCTGTGAGCTTTTCCTTTGTGGGGCCCAATACATAAATGCTTGAAATGACCCAGTGTTGCACTTAACAGTAGTTTCCCATGGGGTGGGAATGGCTTTTGCCAGATCGCTCCTAAAAACTGAATTTGTCCCAGGAGTTGAAGGTTTCATAGAACCATACAATCACAGAATGGTTGGAAGGGACCTTAAAGATCTAGTTCCAAAGGCTCATCATCCCATTGCAAGCTCCCTAATCTACCCAATTCTAAAACAGTATCTTTAAAAATCAGTTTACAAGAAGCTGCTAAGGCAAACACTGAGCCATCAGCTGTATCTGAGTTTGTGCTCTCTTCTTCCTGCTGACACAACCTGCATGTGCAGCCGGACATGGTTTTCACAACCATTGCTTTCTGAAAGGGTGGTTTATGGGCCGTTATTCCCAGAAAGCTGGAGTCCCTGCTGCGAGGACAAACGCAGAGAGATTAGGTCGTGCTAATCCTCCCCTCGGATCCTTTAGACACCATTGCCACCATATGGTCAGTTTGGTCGGGGCTTCCCACAGTCAGCACTGCTCACACCTACGTGCTGAGGCCATATGAAATCCATAGGGTGTTACAGAGTGCTGGTAACAGGCGTCCTGCAGCAGGGAGATGAGTAAAGATCTACCTGTGCAAAGTGACACCAATATGAGTGTCAGCTGTCCCTGCTTAGGGAGAAAGGCGTTAGAGCTGCTGTCCCTAACCCACACTTGTAGGGGACTGAGAAACAGGATTATGCATGCGTTTACAGATGGTGCCTCCGAATCTCTGGTGATAGAGTATTTGCTGACTTAGAACCAAAAAAAAACCCTAAATTTAACATTTCTGTTTCTTTTTCTCTTGCCAGATGCAGCCAGTTGATCTCTTGGGCATCACAATCAAAACCCTTGCAGAAATCGAAAAGGAGGTAGGTAGCGAGTCAGGCACTAAGCAAAAGCATCGTGAGAGCTGTGCTCACTTTGCTGTAAGAACCCTTCCCTCTTTCCTAAGTCACTGCTGGTAGATAAAGTCAATGCGGAGTCAGAAAGTAAGCTCAGTTAGGGATGTCCTCCATGATCCGGGTGAAGACACTTTAGGTGTTGAATCTAATGACAAAGTCTGCTGCCCTCTGTTTAATTCCAGATGTCTGTCTTATTTAACCTTTCTTTCTCATTTATTATCAAAGCATGCTACAAGCTGCTTGTGTTAGGTTGCTTCTTGCATCTCAGGGAAGCAAAGGAACTTGACTAAGCAATGGCAGGTAAACCAAGTCATCACTTTTCAGTTTGATGCTGCTGGTAACGTGTTACCAGGAAAACCAGGCTGGGCTTTCAGTGAGCCCAAGTCTTCCAGGAGCCTGGGGAGGAGACAGCCATCAAATCAAGGGTGGTCTCGTGTTCCCAAGTGAGCATTTTGGCACATGTATGACTTGGAATGCACTGTGCTGGGGAGCCGCCTGTTCTGCAAGGGCTGCTTCTCAGCTGAAGTTGCAGACCAGGAGGAAACTTGTCTCAGCAGCACGTGCTTCTTCAGGCATCATCAGTCACAAACATCATCTCTTGTGCTGACCAGCTGGGTTAAGCAAAGTAAGAAGATGGCAAAGCAAGACTTACAGACTCCTCATGGCTTCTCCACTTTGTGATTACCGTTGTGAGTCCAGTTTCCTAAATCCATCCTTTTCTGCCTGGAAGTTTTGTCTGAGTACCAGAAGGTGGTTGGTTGCCAGGGGCTTCCCAGGCACCTGGCAGGCCAAGGGAGTAGTGACCATGCTCTGAAGGCACTGCCCAACAAGGCCCATCGCTGCCCAAAGCACCCGGTGCCTCAGGCGCTGTAGTCCTGCCATGTTGCACATGTGCCATGCTTCTGTTCGGGGCTGCCTACATCTGTGACGAGGGCCCTGCATGCTGGGAGCTAGAGGTGCTCAGGGCTGGCAGCCCCTATGCATGCCGGATGTCTTCCCAACACTTGGCAAAAGCTGGCTGCAGGGCAGTGGGTCCCTTTTGCCTAAGGGGAAGCAAAGTGGAACCGGATTTCCTTCCGCAGCCCTCTGGGTGTTGCCTGGTGCAACTGGGGTTTCGGTAGCTTGGTATGCTGCCTAGAGGGGTGGGCTGTGCAGCCCTGTCCCCTGCCCCATGCAGACCTGCAGGGACACCGGCACCAGAGTCATTTGGGTGGCCTTGGGAGGAGAGGTCGATACCTGCCTGCTCTCCCCACACCCTCTTGTTCCGTCAAGGCTGCGTGTGTTTCAGAGTAATGAAAAGTATAATTATGCAGCCCATATTCCTTGATGAAGCATCTTGTCTGCACATAGATAGCTGTGCATATAAATATTGTGAATTTCCGCATGGCTTTATTTCCCTTGCAAGCAATAGCACCATTACAGCAAATCTTCTGGATTTCCAAAGCAGCAAGAACATTCTCCCTGGAGCTAGATGCCTTGCAAAAAAAAAAAGTATTCCCAAAGAATTCCAAGAGTTATTGTTCTCTGTCGCCACATTTGCAGATTCATGCACCCATCCTCCAAGCTGCGAGGCGAGCTGAATGAAAAGACTTCCAGAAAAACTGTTGAGAACAGGCTCAAATCCTGTACTGCACATGCAGGCTGTTCCTGAAGTCAGGATCTTGTGTGCCGGGATTGCACTGCTTTGCCCTGAGGAGCGAGTGAAGTGGTGGTGTGCAAGGTGGTGAAGCCCAGTGGGTGATGTCAGGTTTAAGCTGCAGGCATCGTTTGCTTACGGCTGTTTTGGTGGATGTAGGATGGAGCGGAGCAGAGCTCTGGCAGTGCTGCTGCTGGCTCTTCTGCTTTTCCTGGCATGGGGAATGTCACCCGGCAGGCGAGGCAGCCTCTGTATGGTGCAGAGCAGTGCAGGCAGCAGTGAAGGCGCTGGGACTGTTCATGGCTCTGTTGGCAGCAGATGCTGCTGTCCCATGTGGCTGTGGGTACCGTTGGCAGCCATCGGGCTGCCGTGGGCCTCCTGTGCTCGTTGTGTGTGCCCCATCTTCATCTTAGCCTGGCATTGAGCAAAAGTGTGGAGAGAGGCTAGCGAGCAGAGTGAGCATCTAATATTAATCATTCCTTTTAAACTGACAAGGGAGGCAGTTCGTTTAACCACTTAATCGCTACAAGTTTTCATGGGCTGCTCCTTGCAAATATGTTCAAAGAAGAAGTTGTAAATCTAAGGGAGCTTAAAATTTTAATTTTATACAGAAATATTTTTCCTTGTTCTCATGTTTGTAGTCAGTTCTCCAGAGTGTAGTCACATGAAATGTTCTTTAAATGAACATATTTGCTAACTGGCATGATTTCAGTTTTTAAAACATTGGTTCCAGCAATTAGGCATTTTTTTCAGTTCCCAAATGACTAGAGAAATTCGTCTTGATTATAATTGCTCTTAGCCACGCATATCTAATTTGTGTCTTTTTAAGTGTTAATTAGTAAACAGTTTGAGCTGACATCTTTATGTGTTTGTGTGTTGAAAAATGAGGCTTATTGCGTGTTTAGCTCGGGGCTGGTGCTGCTCGCTGCGACATCCTGACATTGAGGTGCACTTAATGAAGACGCGTTTGCCCGTTGAACGGCGGCCGGAAGGGGGATGACTCGGGGCCAAGGATGCACCGGGATGTGCTCCCCCGGCCGCCGCTCCGGGCCCCGGTGCCTCCGGTGCCTCCGGGTCCCGGTGCCTCCGGGTCCCGCCGCGGTCCCCGCGCGCCCTCTGCCGGCCCCGCGCCTCCCTGCAGGCCCCGCTGGTGCCCCCTTGGAGCGGCCGCTTTGGTGACTTCGGGCTCCGTGTTCCCGGTGGTGATGGAGGAGGGAGCGCCGGTGGCCTCGCTCGCCCCGCAACGGGCTCGGAGACCCAGGATGGATTCAGCATTGAAGCTGGGAAGGCCAATGCCGCGTCTGCTGGGAGCCAGCGGAGGTGCTGGTCCAGCTCAGCATGAGGCCCTCGCACAGTGCCTGGGGCTCTTAGCATCACATCCCTGGAACAGCCAGCCCGGCCATCCCTGTGGCTTCACTCCATGCACAGGGCTGGGGTCAGGCACTGGCAAAGTCACTGAGTTTTTGGGGCTGTACCACTGGAAGCATGTCCCATGCCCTAGGCTGGCTGGTGAGGAGCTGTGACAAATGGGCCTGGTCCAAGGGAGCATCTTGGTGACATCCCAGAAGCCACAAACAAGACATGGAGACACAGGGGAGGACTGTCCATAGGCAGAGCAGTGTGTGTGCAGGCTGGGTGCCCAAGCTGCCCCAGGGCATCATTCCCAGCAGCCAACATGGGACAGCCACTGCAGCATCATCCTCTCCTGGGGATGCTATGGCATGGTGAGGGACCACAGCAGCATCCAGGGTGACCAGGGGCTGTCGGGGTACGGCCCAGCAGGTGCCACGAGATGGCACTGCTACGGCGTGTGCTGCAGCAACCAGGCCTGCACGGCTGCGTCCATCCACTGCAGGGACATCTGTGGAGAGCAGGGACATGTATACAGGAGTCTTCACCCACCTCGCCAAACCAACAATGTTAATTGTGGTACCAGCTTGTGTGAGCAAGGACGGCAAAAGGGAGCCTTTCTGACTAGCTGCTTTATGTGCAGGATGCATGTGGTCATGTCTGTATTAATGCTGGTGTTTAGGGTGTTGCGTAGGCTGGGTTTTAGGGGAGGGAATGGATCCAGTTACCACCGTGGAGTCAGGTAATGCTGGCATGCTCACCCGGCATGGCCCTACCTGGGGAGATCACAGCTCTGGGTGCTGCCGGGCCCAGTTCTTGCCTCGTTCTTCTGCTTGTTGTGCTGTCCTGGCATGGGCTGGGGAGCGTGGCCGCACACGCTGCCCCAGGCTGCGCTCCACGGTTCCCTCTCTTGCTTTGCCCACAGTACGACTACAGCTTCCGGACGGAGCAGAGCGCGGCGGCCCGGCTGCCACCCAGCCCCACGCGGTGCCCGCCGGTCCCGCAGTCCTGAGCGGGACGGCCGGCGCTGGAGCGGGATGTGCGTGCATACTACTGAGCAGGATGTGGCACCGGGGCCATCCCAGACCTCCGCTCGCCCGGGCATCGCCGCCCTCCCTGCGCTGCACCACCTCCTCCTGCACACACTGCTCCACGCCTTGGGACTGCACAACTCTTTGGCAGCTGCCCTCACCCTCCCTCGCTGCTGCGGGCTCCTCTCCATGTGAGTATGTGACTTGGAACCTGAGGCAGCCCCTCAGTCATCCCCTCTTCATACCCATTGCTGCAGGACAGTGTTAAAAACCAGAGCTGTATCAAAGTGCTGCGAACAGCGAGCCGTGAGCTCGTGAACCATCAAGAAATGCTCAGCAGCGAGCCCTAAAAGTAAGGAAGAACAAACTGTATGGCTGGTTAATCCATGAGCCCTTGAGCATCGTGCCCAAGCTGACATGGAGCTGATGGGCTCTCAACACCTTGCAGCAGGCAGCACTGAGCCACAGCAGAGGCCCTATCTGCCTCCAGCAAGGTCTGGGCACACAGAGCTCCACCATGGCCGGGATCAACCCAGGATGCGATCACTCGGCTCTGTTACAGCTGGCAGAGCTGGGGTCGCTTGCTCAGACTTGCCTTGGGCTCTGTCCCCTGGCAAGACAAAGGGGTGCAGAGAGCAGAAGCTGCACTGCTGTTCCTGAGGGGAAGCACCTCTGCTTTGCACAGGGTGTCCCTGTATCTGTCCAGACCAAGAGTGACGAACATCCTGTCTTTCTTTCTGGGCTGGATGCTGGCAGCTCCAGCTGACCCCCAGCCATGCTTCCTGCAGAGCTGGAGCTCTGCTGACAACTTGGATGCTGTCACCTGCCTGTCACTTTGGACAGCTTTCTAATACTTGCCCCGCTAGCTGCTAAAACAAAAGAGATGTGCCTGTTCCCTCGTGTGCTCACAGGGAAGCACTGAACTCTGACGCAGTGCAGGATGAGAGTGGGATGCATTAAACCCTGACCTCAGCCTCCTTGTGATCGCTGACCTTAGCTCGCTCCTGAGTCAAATGCATGTCTTGGAGAAGTCTGTTGCTGTAATAAGTTATTTAGAAGTGCCCATCTGACTCCATGCTGCTTTCTCAAGTCTCTGCTGTAGAACAAAGCTACATCATGGCAGCAAAATGGCATTTTTTAAGCAAGTGTTCAAACATACCCATTTTTTATATTGTAAAATACTGATTACCTAACCCTATTGAAATGCAATTGCCATAGTAACAAATAACAGTGTTGTCGCTCTCAGTCTGGGTCGTACGTATGCCCTGACCTGCTTTGCACTGCTTTTGATTGATCTTGCTTTTTCTAGCTGGCCAGAATGGTGACTAACACTAATGGTGACTAGGTTTTGTACTGTCAGCTTGTATGTTTTATTTGTACATATGTAAAATATTTCTTGTCCAAAGATTCATTTCTGGGTTTAAGGCACCATGCTGTATTGCTGGAATAATGAGCACAAAATCCATACCACTCTGGACAGACTCATTTCAAGTCTTTGCTTCAACTTCTTCCAGTCAGGTAAATTGTTTTCTGAAACTGCCTCTGTAAGGCAAGGCTTTGCCATTGGGAAGCAGAGGCTCATGTGGTTGCAGGTGTCTTCTTGTATTTGAGCAAAAGACTCAAAGCTATCCCATTTGCACCAGCTCCGGAGCGTTGGTGACCCCCTGGAAGTGCTCTTTTACTTGGAGGTTGCAGCACCACTTTTAGTCCTTATTTATCCTGCAGGAAAGAAAAGCCAGACCTCACTGCCAAGCTTCACAAAGGCTAGATTGATGATGCCGACATCAACAAATGAACATACCATGGCAGCCTGGTCATTCGGCTCAGGTTCACTTGAAGTTCAAATCCACTCCATGCTGTAGTACTGTGCCCATCTCATCCATCTTTTGTCTTCCTATTTTTCTGCTTGTAATTTGTTCTGTAGTTTTCTGTGGCACCCGTTTAGGGCTTCTCCTGTGGCTTAGTGGGCATTGCAGGTAGGTAGAAGCCCTCTGCAGCAATGCATTCCTTGTGGCTTTGGGCTGAAGGAGCTGCAGAGACATTTCCTGTTCCTGGTGGTGCAGGAGCAAGGACTGCAGGTAGGTGCAGGGCAGCCAGTGCAGAGTCTGCAGAGCTCCAGGGGCAGTTCCTGGCACTGGGAGGTGGGAAGAGGGCTGCCAGGAGCTTTTCCTCAAGCCACATCTTCCCACACCAAGGGCAGGGCTGACCATGGAGCAGCTGGAGCACTCCAGGAGGAGCAGGTTTGGATAGCTGCGATCAGTGGGGACGTCTCAGAATAATGGGTCCATAGCCTCAAGTCCTTACTGTGAGATTCAGCTTACAGAGCAGCAGTAGATTAAATTGGTGCTTTAATAATGTTTATAGCAAATTATGTGTGCTCAGCCTTCCTAGAGATGGTGAGCTCAGCTTTCTCTTCAGTACCTACAAGAAACACTGGATGGCTCAAAACACTGATGGGATGTGCAGCTGGGACAAGCATCTAAGAAATCTTCAGGATATATTTGTATAGTTGGTTCTCACTCTTCTTACACTGGCCTAGCTGAGCTGCTTCAGAGGTGCATCTGCAAAGATACTTGAGAGGTCAGTTTGATCTTCACAGTGTGTTTCTGCACTGTGGCACTGCAAGAATACCCTGTACTGTAAGCAGGAATAGTACAAAAGCAGTTTCTGTGGTACAAATGCAGTAGAGGTGTTTAGAGCAAAGAGCTACAGCTTCTGAGTCGGCTGGCTACTGAAGGCTGGGTATTTCCAAAGGGAGAGGGCTTAGAGCCTGTGTTTGGAAGCCCAGCGAGACATGCAGTGCAGGGTGGCTGCTGTGTGTGTCATCTGCTCAGTCCAGTCATTATAGGAAGCTTTTTTTATTGCACCTCTGAATTCCCGAGATCTTGGGCATCAGGTCAGTGTTTCCACAGGCAGGTTTTATTTGCTGTTCCGTGAAGTTTTATACTCACAGCAACTCACTGCAAGGCTGGTCCTTGTATCCTCACAAGTCCTCCCTGTTGGCATGTGCCATAGCCAGTACCAGCATCCCTCTGCATCTCCCTCCCTCCCTGTCCAAAAGGTGCTGTGGTAGCATCAGCCCAGGCAGTAACTACTCAGAGAGCCTGATGTTGGTGTCTGGCTGTGGAGAAACCTTCTGGAGCATAAGGGAAGGGATGAGTCAGTGGAAAGCAGCAGAAGTGGATTTGCAGAGCTTTACCAGATGTGCTTGGCTACCTTGCCTCTATTTCTAGAACAGAACTACCCTCTAGGTGTCTTAATCTTGGGGCTGATGGAGAAATTAGTTTGCTGAATTATCGTATATCTGCAACAGAGACAGCAAAGCAGCAGTGAGGGGTTTGCTTACTGTAAAATACACCTTCTGATGTGAATTAGTGGTGACACGCTGCCTCCTGGATTTCTCACGGCAAAGAGCAGGTCACGTATTGAGATGACTCGTGGGCCATCCAGGCCAGGCTGTGCTGTCTGATGTGTTAACAATGGAAAGGCAAGAAATTAGTCCAGAAAATAATGTAGAGTGTGAACTTTGTGATACAATTCAAGTGTGAACAGTCGTAGCAGGTGCCTTCCCTGGGGGAGCATCTCCATAGCTGTAGTTCCATAGGAATAAACTTTGTCAAGCTTTTTTCCTGTGACTGTCACTGAGTTTGCCCGCGGTGTGTTTGTAGAAGAGGATCCCCCGTGAGCCTCCTGTGTAGTGAGAGGTTGTTGTCGGTCTGTAGCATTGGGCTTGTTTGGTTTCACACCCACCCCTGTCCCCCCCCAGTTCCCTGAGCAATGCAGATGAGCCCACACCCCACAGAGCCCAGAGAAGAGCCTGACATGTGCCATGTGGACACTGGTGGCAAGGGCATGCGTCCGCAGGTCTGGGCACCTTCAGTGCAGCCCTAAAGATCAACCTGGGGGAGGAACAATGGGATGTGGCACCTTTGGAGTCGGTCCCACATTGGCCTTCGCCTCCCCATTGCCCTCAGGCAACATGGGCTCTGCCCCCAGCCACTCTCCCAAAGCATCCCTAGGAGCATGGCCGGGGTGGCCATGGGTGCATCCCATGGGTGCTTGCAGAGCAGCTCCCTGGAAGCCCATCCCGCTCTTCCCGATGGAGTCTCGCTGTATTCACATAATTACCTCAGCCTTCGAGCCTTGCCGAACAGGCAGGGATTGCCGGCAGCAGAGTGGCCTCGGTGTTGGTTATCCCGAGCCATCCCACTCCGACAGCAGCAGGGAGGGTGCTCCCCTGCGCATGGAAAAGCTCAGTAAGGTGCTGCTCAATTCGTTCCGTACAGGGAAACCAAACCGTTTGGATATTCTGATTGTTTATTGTGAAATCGTCTCCTAACAGCAACAGGTTTAAATGTCATCCTGCAAATGGAACAGAGAAACCTTTTATGCAGTTGCAAAGTGTTTTTCTAAGATGCTATGCATTTTGTTGGGTTATTGGAAGTGAATTTACTGTGCATTAATCTTATGAATGTTACTACGTTTTATATTTATTTTAGATGACCCTCCTGTATTTTACAAAGGGAAGTTTCATTGTGTGATAACTTAGTCTGTATTCTTAATATAATTTGTTAAATAAAACTCGTTTTAATCAGTTTATTCTCTGTACTTTGTGTCTTAAATTTGGAGTTTGAGAAGTTTAAAACCCTCCTTGCACAGTTTTGGTGGGATGTGAGGGCCAAGACCAGGGATGCCTTTTCCTCTGCTCTCAAGCTGCCCAGGAAGGCCAAGGATGCTGCAAAAGATGGGACCTGATTCCAGGCACAGGAAGAATAAAGAAATGGGAGCAGAAACATCACTAGAGTTGGACGAGTGGCTGTGAAGCTTCAACTTCCTGGTGAACAGCAGTGATCGCCTGTGGCCCTGGCTGGTCTCTTGGCTGACCAAAGCAGCTACAGTCTGTCCATGGATCTGAGGGGTCAGCTTGAGAGGTGACAGCATCATCACCCTGTAGGTAATGTGTGGGTTTTGTCCTTGGAAATGAGATGTAAAAAGCTGTGGAATGTCTGTCCACAATGTCTCTCTCAGAAGGTGTGCTGCAAAGTCAAAACACAGAACTCAAAATAGCTTAACTTCAGCGTTTTCTGGAGCCAGGGACCACACGTGGCTTCCTCACAAGCCATGTCCCAAATGCATGTCTCAGTAAGTATGCCACTATAGTAAATGACAGCAGCATCAGTGAAACACCGTGTTTATCCTCTATGAAGTTTAACAACTTCAGTCACTCATAATTATATCGGCTGCAAAATTTGCATTGCATGTAATTAGGAGGAAGTCAAGTCAAAGTCATGGAGTTGGCCTCAGCTTGGAAAAGCTGTTGCAGGTTTGACTTGTCAGCATCAGCTTTCTGTGTTGTTTTTAACATGTGCACACTGGTTGCATGCCTGCTCCTTCCCCCGCCCTTCTGTACCAGCATACTGCCCCATGCCAGGGATGCTGGTGCCACTGCAGTTCAGGGTGGCTCTTGCTGAGAGCAGCAATGGACCACTGCAGCCACATGCAGTAGATCACAGCAGCATGCAGTGGGTGACAGCGGCATGCACCTTGCATGGTGTTTCACACCTCCCCACCTCAGGCAGGGCTTTCCCCACCCCAGCAGCACTGTGGCTTGGAGCTGATGGGACAGAGGCTGTGCATGGATGGGGAGGGAGAGTTGCTGCAGGCTGAGTGGCTCTGCCTAGCTCAGGACTCCATGGTCTTATGTCTTAGAAATATTATAAAGTGGGATTCTGCAGAAATAAAGAGGGTTTTTATAATTAACTCTGAAATACAGCCGTGTTTTAAGAGAGGCAGTTAAGGGTGGAAGCGTGAGCTGCAAGGGAGGTGTTGTGCTTTTATGACCGATGTGTCCTGCGTGGCCTTGCTTTGCTGGCACTCTGCCGAGCACTGAGTGGTCTAAGGGCACTGCAGGGATGCTGCTGGGGCGGGCTTCAGCTCGAGCGATGGGAGCTGGTGCCTGCTGTTCATGCGGTGCCAGGGGGTGAAGTTCCTTTGGCCAGTGGGGAGATGCCTCATTATGGGCAGGACAGGGCAAAACCTGGTGCAGGGACTGTGCTGGTCACAGAGCCCTTCCCGTGGGGTCCTGCTGCAGTGGCTGCCGGGCTGGTGTCATTGCAGACAGGTACCCACATGGCCAGTGGCAGTAAGCCGTGGGAGGGGAAGCAGACTTCTCAGCTAGAGGGAGGCCAATAGCACAGCATTAAAACTGAAAATGGTTTTTCTTTGTGCTAACTTATTCTTCTGGACTTGACCCAAGCTGGTGGTGCACAATGCGACCTCTGGCATCTTCTCTCACCCCAGCCAATATTTCTGTCTCACTTATTTTGAGTGGTCTTTGAATTAAAGGAGATTAATACCCAAGTTCCCGACATTCTCTTCAGGCACATGTTTTTATAACCTCCTTTTCAAAGTGAGTACCACTTGTTCCACCAAAACCTAAGGAACTGCATCTTGGAGCTGCTGTGGGAGCCGTCACCAGCACCTGATTGAATATCCCGGCCAGGGAGGAAACGGCGCAGGGGGGACATAAACCAGAGTGGGCCTGTCCTGCACACCAGCTCGCAGGCATGTGAGCTGCCTCGGAGCCATCGCCAAGAGAGTGATGCCTGCGGACATCAAAGCCACTTCTGCCTATTTAGCTGCTGCCACGGGACATGGGCTCGGATCTGTGGCATGGGAAATGGCATGGGGCTGCGCATCCGCTGCCTGGGAATACAGCCGAGCTTCCAGGCATGCCTGCCAGGGAAGAGCCTCATCCCCAGCCCTTGTTTTGCTTTTCGTATTTCCTAATTCAGCTGCTCAGACTTCTGGGGTAATTATTGAATGTTTATAATACATTAATGCTTCACCAAATCTCTGTGCTGTTTCTGCAGTTTTTCTCCCAAAACAGCCATAACCTAAAGAGCTGCTTTTAGTGGTGGTGAGCTGGAAGGGGATCTCCATCGTGAGGAGCAACAGCAATGCTCAAAGCCTGGAGAAGCAAAGGCATCCTCCCCCCTTTTCCCTGCCTACCCCTATCAGCCCCTCCAGATACTGTGTGGTGCTTTGGCTGGAGGTGTGTTGCTCACGGACCGAAGCTGGAGCATCGACCTACTGTTCAAAAACACAGATTGGTGGAGATGATAAAAACAGACAGAAAGAAAACCCAGAGCCTCACCTGCCACATTCCTCGGTGCCATCAGAGGCCGAACCAGTGCCTGAACAGCATTTCCTTTGTTAGGATAACATAAATCCATCCACTGAACCATCCTTCGCCCCTCACCTGGATATCTCTGCTATTTCACTTCCTCCTCTTGCATTTGTTCCTTGTTGGACAAACAAAGGGGTTTTCTGGTGCCAAGCAGCCGTTTGTCCCCAGCGAGGTGTCTGGTTGGCCATTCCTGCCCCAGGGAAATCCTCCTTTTGTCAAAGGGGGAAGCAGCAGGCGCAAGGGCTGGCAGGAGCCAGCCGCGGTCCCTGCGGCGTTAGAGGGTTGTGTTGGGCTTTGTGTGCCTGTGGCTTGGTGGTGGTGTTTGTTTTCTTTTCCCCCTCTCCCTCCTACAGCTTTAAAAATTAACTTGCCTGGGGAGTTTCTCAAACTCTTTTCCTTTCTCTGGAATGATGGATAAGCCATGTAACTGATTGTCATGGCCCTGGAGAGGATAAACATCTTCTGCAGTTTAAAATGAAGCCTCCCCGCTTCTTGGTTAATAAGTGTTGAAAGAAGCATAAATAGAGCTAACACAGGATTTCCATGACTAACAAGATGACCACATCAGTGAATGTTGTTTGGGGTTAAAAATGACTCAGCTTTTGCTTCCCTAGGGTAAGATGTTTTATCCCAGCGCAGGAAAGGCTGCCAGTGGTACTTTGAAGGCCTGGCAAACGGCGTAGCCGGGATTGCGAACTGGGAAGTGTTTGAATGCAGAGTTAAACAAAAAGGGAGTCCTAAACTCCGCTCCATGTGTGCAGATTTCTTGAAGATAAAGGAGCCCACAGCTTTATCCCGCTTGTGCTGACTCTTTTCTTTTCAAAAGCCGTTTCAGATGTTTTCACTTTTCTGCTTGCTTTGTTGAAAGATGTAAAAATTGAAGACAACCACAAAGTAAACATCTCAAAACTTTCTGTGCTGGAAATTAGTGACATTTCAAAATCCATCAAGCTCTGTTTCTGCACTCTCCCCAAATGGAGATGTTTGGGGGTTGGTTTTTCTTCACTGACAAACTTTCCAGGCCGGTTTTTGTTTATCGATCACCTTTCCTTTCTTTTTCAAAGCAAATAGATTTATTATTCGGTAGAAACACGAGATAAGTAGATGTCTTGTCAAAATAAAACAGGTTTTCTTTATTAGAGTGAAATAGTAATGAACTCATCTGCTTCCAATATTTATAAAGAGTAGGGAGGGCCATTAATTCTACTGCTTGTGAATAAAACCATCTGTGATTTCTTTCCATTTGATGTGTTTTGGTTTTAATATACATTTTTCACAAATAAGTGCGGGGATTTTTTGTGAAAATGTCACATTCAGAATCTCATAAAGCAGGAACGCAAAGAGGGGGAAACGAAATGTTTTGTTAGCTAAGTAATTTCTCACCTTGCACAGAGAATAAAATTCATGCCAACTTTAACACATTAGGCGACAGAATTACATGTTCAGCTCTAATGCAATCCATGACATGTAACAAGGCAAATAGAGTATGTTTGGAAGTTTGTTTTCCTTTGGGAATCACACAGTACATTTAACCTAATCTGTCCTGACACTTGAATTATAACATTATGAGCTTCTTCAGGGAAGCAAAACGGTAGATGCCTCTTTTTAAAGCAAAGCAGAAGTTAATACAATGGGCGATGTGTCAAGGAGAAAAAGCCTGATCAAACCCAGTGCAATTCCCTGGAGGAAACGGGGTTCTAGGCTGGGGTTTTTCCCCCCAGAAATGCTGGAAGTCTCGTGACAAACTTCTGCTGAGGATGAAATCTGACCTCTAGAATTCCACTCGATTCAACCAAAACCCAAGCGGGACCACTTTGTAGTTTGACTTGTGAGTGTTGGATCTGAAATTAAACTGAGTATTCATCCAGCTGCTCTGCCAGATACTGTTTTACAGCCTTCCCACCAATTCCTACGATGGAGACCATCCTGTATCGTAGCTTTCTATGCCTGTACATGCAAAGGAGCTCTCTGCCACTCGCCAATATGTGATGCTGGTAAAAGAAGTCCAAACCAAACTCCAGGTAATCCTCTTTTATGGGAATGGGCCTTTAAACGCTGTATGCTCAGCTGACAGGTTAGCTACAGTAATATGTTTTAAGGCCCCAATTTAACACCCATTGTTCAACAGGACCAAAGCAAATCCTCAGGGGTTCCTCCAAAACGGACACGGGGGAGTGAAGAAACCTGGAATCAGATAACACGTGTTTCGTACACAGTCCGGAATTCCTGGTGCTACGGGGCAGGGAAGGTACTACACAGGAAGGGATAATCGATGCTGGGCAGTTTCCTACACAATTGGTTTTGGCCAGTGCAGTGTGAAGCCCTGGGAATTACATGGATCATTCACAGAGTGATCATAAACTGACCCGTGAAGAAAACGCTGCTGTGAAACCCCACGGGTTACCTCTGTCCTTGAGGAACTGGTACCTTTTTTTTCCTCTAAATCTGTAGTTTAGAGGATATTAAAAAAAAAAAAAGAGTTAAATTTTAAGTAAATTTTACTGTTGGTTCTCACTGAAAAAAAATCATCAAACTGGTTCATCCAGCATTTGGGAAATGGAGGAGGGAGAGAAGAGGTGGAGAGGGCTTTGCCCCAGAGCCCAGTGCCCTCTGAGGCTGCAGAGCCCCTGCTGAGTGCCACAGCCCTGCCTGGTTCAGGGTTCATGCTCCCTGGCATTGCCTGGTCCTGGCTGCAGCAAGGACAAGACGAGGCTGTGCTCTTCTCTTAGACAGCTTCACACCTATATCAAACAGGTGAGTCTGCCTGAGGTTTGCTTATGGTTTATAGCTTTAGAATTTAAACTAATCTGGTGTGGAACAGTAAGGATACTAATTATCTAGAAAAGGGTTTTTTTGGACCAAACTGACCAAATTTTGCCAAGCAAAAAACCAAAATCTTCTTTTCAACTTTAAAACGTTTTACTGGTTTCCAAGAGCAGGGATGTGTGTTTGATTAGGCCAGGTTTGGGTGGGTTTGTGGCAGGTTTAATGTTCCTGACCTAGGGGTGCCCAGGCCATGGGATGGTGCTGGACGTGCAGAGCTGCTGGAGCATCAGCTGAAGAGGCTGAGGAGGGACACACTTCCTTGTTAATGGGCCCATAATCCTCCATGGGTCTCCTCTCCTTAGAGAGCACTGGAAGTGCAGGGTTTAAATGGTAACAAGGAAAATCCATATGGATATTAGGAAAACTTCCTAAAGGGGAAACAGGTGAGGCCTGGGAGGGCCGTGTGGTCCCAGGTCTAAGTCTTTGTTAATCACTCATGGGAGTAGTCGGGGTACAACTGAGGCTCTGTGGGGTGGGGAGTGCAGCGATGCCCTGCCTCTGGGAGCACACTAGTGGGCTGTTCCCACGGTCATGGCAAAGGGTTGGGATTTGGGATGTGTGGGATTGCGGGAAGCTGGGGGATGGTGCCTACAGAGTCACTGAAGTGTCAAGAAAACAGGGAGCCCGAGAAGGTCATTTCAGGTCATTTCCCTGCCAGGGAAATGCTTCCAGCAGGAGTGTCTGAACGTAGTGGAAGAAGCCCAATATTGCTGTTCCTGTACCGTGTCCGGTAGGAGCACCTGAGGCCTTGGTCAGGATGCGTGGTGCAGGCACTGGAGGATGTAGCATGAGTGCTATGGCAAGATGCACTGGGTAGGGACCTAATGACAACACACCAAGACTCACTGCCAAATTGGGCTCATTTCTTCACTATAAGGGTGCTGAGGCACTGGCACAGAGAGGCTGTGGCTGCCCCATCCCTGGCAGTGCTCAAGGCCAGGCTGGACACAGGGGATTGGAGCAAGCTGCTCTAGTGGAAGGTGGCTCTGCCCATGGCAGGGGTTGGAACTGGATGAGCTTTAAGGTCCTTTCCAACCCAAACCAGGCTGGGATTCTAGAACAATGCTTTTCTTACCTCCCCAGGTCACAAACAGCCCGAGCTGCACAGAACCCACTGCCCTGTAACCCCACCTCCCTCTGACTGCGTTGGGAGCAGAAGGGCTGAGCCACATGGATTGCAATGAACAAGAGAAGCAGCGACTGGGCTCCAGTGCATGCACCTCTCTATTTCATAGTGACTAACGAGTCCATCCCTGACTGGGGCAAAACCATCGCTGGGGCCACGCTGCTGGCAAAACCCAAGGACAAGCTTTGGGGATACGTGAGGGTCAGTTTGTTTCACTGGGGGTAATGGAGGTGGTTCCCTGCGACTGATTTTTAACTGAATTACACAGAGATTTCCTGCTCTTCCCACCTATACATAAGACTTTTCCCACAGTCTCCCGGCACTGACCTGTCGCAGGCGGCAGAAGCCAGACGATGGACTCAAAGCCCTTAATACAAACTCTTTTTGCCTGTTCTAACTCTAAATTCCTCTTTCTGCCCAAATGCCTCCTTCTATGAAACTTTTAGGAACTTAATTATCCTTGAGACTTCTACCTCTCTGCGAAATCTGGTTCAAATCAGTAAAGAAAAGAGTTCAAAGTTATTGGGCAGGACAGGCAGACAGACAAGCACACAGGGATCACAGGAACCTTGTTTTCATAGGAAACTAGATTAAAAAAAATCCCACAGCAGTTACCAGCCCTTTTGGTGGTTCCCCCCTCCCGGCTCTCACACAGGGTGATGCTCGGGGCTGGGGGGCCCGTGGAGCAGGCGCTGCAATCCCGGTTTATGCTCTTGGTACAAAGGGAGGGAGACAAAACCTGCCTCCCCTGGCCAGGGCTTGCTTGGGCGGTGACTGTGTGGCTATGTCTGGTTTTCCCAGCTGGATGCAGATTCATGACATCCCCGCTCTCTTTGGCATGCAAACCTGCACCTAATTTCTTCTGAAAGGGCCCTGAGGAAGTCAGCAGATGTTATTATTAAAGCATTGAGTATCAGCAGCTCCTGAGGTATTGTCAGTCCGTTAATGAGCTGATCAAACTGGGGAGAGCAAGGGCTTCCCAACTTCTTATTAAGGAAAATAAGACCTCCAAGGTTAAAAGACTTCTTTTAAACTGCACCAGGTTTATAGGTTGCAAAATGTTCTTTAATCAGTTTATTCTTAGAAGGCCCCAACTGTCCAGGCACAGGAGTGGGCATTATCTTAAATGCTCCCTGTAAAGAAACATAACAGCTCTATCTTGGTGTGTTTGCTGACATTTTTGCTTGCTAAGTTGTCTTCTTAACCCACCAAATATGTGCAGTTTCTGTGAGTCTTTTGCTTATCGCTGCCGGCAGCTCTGCCCCAAGCCTCCTGCTGATTTGTGAGTTATTATCTTTTGCTGTTTAAAAATGAAACCAATTTTCCCATCATTAGGTTTGTATTCTCAGTTTGGCAAACCTTAAATTTCCCAAGGCTGCAGTGGATGCAAGATGGTCAATTGAGCAAGAAAGAACCCTGAATCCAAAGTCTCCCTGCACCTCTCCTGTGCACTGCTGGGCCTATTTCTGTACCTGGGGATGCACTAAATACTGCTCTCCTAAAAGCAATATCTAATGGAGAACCCAATTTGTTGGGGTTTTTTATGTAATCCCATATTATCTGGAAGCTTCCTTGGGGTTTTTCAGCTGCAGGGATGTTCAGAATGTGGACAACAGTGCCAAGGAGATTAGAGTAACTTAGTGACAGCTAGAAGTTTAAGAGAACCAGTTAGTATTTCTATAGCTCAGCAGAGGAGCATGACATGCCTCAACCAGTGCCTTATCACTGATATCTAACCCTGGCAGTGTTCAAGACCAGGTTGGACGAAGCTTGGGTGAGATGGTTTAGTGTGAGGTGTCCCTGCCCATGGCAGGGGGGTTGGAACTGGATGATCTTAAGGTCCTTCCCAACCCTAACTATTCTATGATTCTATGTCACAGGAGGCAGGTCCAAGACCTGACTAGGGTAAACTGAGACAAACCCTTGTCTGGGGGATCTTCATTATATCCAAAATGCAGTTGGTTAAACAGCTACAGGGGAATGCTCAGAATAAGAGAATACAGAGAAGGCTCCTTTTAATCCTCTCCATCTGCTCCTTGATGCAAAGTATGAAAGCAAACAAGGTGGCCATTCCCTACCGAAGTGTTCAGCAGCCCTGCTCTGCCCTGCCAAGGGGAGCTCACCCTGTCCATGCCCACAGGAGAGGCTCCGTAGTCCGGATGCTCATCAACAGTTCCTTCTCGCTGTGGGTCACTGAGCTTCACATCCACGTTGTGATTTATTTTAGCACGGACATATTTATACCATCTGATAAGCACTGAGTGCTATAAATATGCCTGTGCACTCGCTT